TTTTTTTTTTTTTTTTTTTTTTTTTTTTTTTGTACACCCGCCTCCTTGAAGCCAGCAGAAGGAAAATAAGCTGAGGACAGAGAAATAAGAGAAGACGGAGATGGTGAGCAGATCATTGGGTTGGGGGGAATGAATGAGGTTGCCGGGCTATTTTCTGTGAGAGGTTCATGCAGGGTGTAGTACGTTTGGGATGATTTTGCATCACGATTGCAGACTAGCCTTCTTTGTTTGCTAAAGATTGCTGGTTAAGGTTTAACAGCGTTCATCAGTTTATTGTGAGATACGCAACGAGGAGTTGATGTATACGAATGGCTAAAATTACATACGTAAGCCACACACACAAGCAATCCCTAAACAAACCAACATTGTATTAATCCTGCAATATGATGGGCAGCTCTTGTCATGGAGGGAAGTCATTGCTCAGGTTATTTGTGGCATGCATAGGAGATGAGTCTCTTTGTAGCACAGACCAAACAAAACTAACCTATTTCTTCACAAACGTGAAATCCATTACAGACTTAAAACCCGAAGTTAGTTTTTTCTTTTTTTTTCTTTTCATTTTCCCTGCAGTATTGCTGTACATGATTAAAATCTGCTTGCAAAACTTGATCAACTCTTTGCAATGTTCACTTCTAGCAGGCAAATAGTAAAGACCGTGTTTCTCCCTCTTTCTTTTTTTTTTAATGTAAGCACTTGTTTGTGGAAGGGAGAATTCTTGTAACATGTACTTTGCTTTTTACAGTGTACTGTTGTGCCTTAGGTAGGTCACAATACAAAATGTGATTCTTAACATGTTAAAAAAAAGCAGATTTTTTTTATATTAAGTGAAGACCTGGTTTGTACTAATAGTATCGTAAACACTAGATATGAGTTTGTGGGTAAAAACCCGCCGTTTTCTATTAATGGGAATGTTTTATGGTAAAAATCAAGATTATAAATGACAGAGTATTGACATTGGCTGATTGTATCTTCCTGTGGATGAAGTGCTGCAGTCTGGATGTATTAAGTACATTAGCCCTTTAAGCTTCCATAAATTTGAACATATTTTGTTTACAAAATTGTGCAGGACTGCATGATGCAGTAGTAAAATCTGAAATTTTAGTGGCTTTAGCAATGTTGCAAGGCACTGCAAAAGAGAAAAATTGCAGCCTCTTATTAAATCTGCTGTGAAAAAAAAAAGGTTTGTTATAATAAATTAACACAGGATATACATGGTGACTGAAGTAACTGAAAGGGCTGGATAGTTTGGAGTTTCTACAGGAAAAATAAGTTGTGAACTATGCTGTTGTCATCATGCAAGATGTTTGGATGGATGGCTGTTAAATTTATTTTAAGCAACATCTCTGTAAATGCTTGTCTGAAATATTTAAATTATATGCCCCATTAGGCAAATGGGTTTATCTGCCCATTGCTTGGCTAAAGGAATGTGTTAGGAGGGCAAGGTTTAGAAGAACAATACAGTTTGACTGCATAGTTTCACTGCATAGTTTATCCTCATGTATTGTTCAGAGATGCATAGAATGTATTTTATTTGACATTGATGATCTTTATAAGTTGACTTTGCTGATTTTATTTTTATGCCATAGTTGCTGTCAACATAAATAACTGAATTTCAATTAATATAACCACAGATTTAACCACAACCATAGATTTGACCTACTATTTAGCTAGAATGGATGAAAAGTAGTTCCCTTGTTCGATTTTCATCTATTCACTCAAAATCTCTGCAATGGATTTCAGTCTCAGCAATTCTTTAATATTGGGAGAACTGGTAAGAGTTAGAAATGGAGAGAGATTCCCATTGTATTGAGTTAGGACACTGCACTAGAAATAGCAAAATTCCTGTCTTTTGCTTATACTTCAGATTTTGTTCAAACTGCAGTTTAGAGAAGATATCTTATCCTGAAGACCATCTGCATGCATATTACAGTTATATAAAACTAAGCTTCTGTATCTGATTTTATGTAATGCAACACATTATTTCTGCAGTGCTTTTGGTGGATCTTGGTTAGTGTCAGAATTGATACACTCTGAGGAAAACCTGTTAGAATTCTTGTGCTACCAGGTTTATAATTTGTTGCTCTTAATATTTTATTGTGTGAGTATAAATCATTGACACAAAAACATTGTAAACAAATGCTGTAGCAACTAAGTGTGAGATTACATTTAGTTTATGTCTTTACAGTTTAACCAGAGTATGACAGTATCTTGTCTAGTGTGGGTGCATTCTGTTGCTAATAGCCATCATAGTAATCTTCAAAGCAGAAAGGCTAGGTCAAGTTTTTTACTTTATTGCCTGTCTCTATAGAAGAAGGAGGAAAAAGACCAACTCTAGGATTACACCAGTATGGATAGGGGAAGGATTTATTGGATGTGTTGTGTGCAGTTACCTTACTTAGACTTCATATGAGTCACCTGGAAATTAGCATTGAGATTTCTGTTAAGATTAAAATACACATATTTTTAGAAAAAGTGTTCTTTCCATAATGCAAAACATATAGAGTATACATGTAACTTGGCAAACATATTTTCTTTATAAACGGGCATTAGCAATATCATGGGTTTAAGCATTAAAATAAGAACGCGGAAATCTTGATGTCCCTTGAATTCCAGGTAGGTTATGGTCTACATGTGTGCTGAAGCAAGAAGGTTAGCCACCTATCTCAGCATCTGAAAAAAGTAGCAACCATCTTACATAATCAAGTGGGTTTTATTTCCCTCAGCTAACATGTGTAAAACAAAGCCAAACCCAAAAAACTGCTGTGCAAGTTTTTTATTCCTTGTTTGTCCTTTTCATTCCTACCCTTGCGTTTCACAGGCAATTCAAAACAAGCTGTAAAGCTATTTCTGGTTCTATATGCTGAGATTCTAGAGGTCTAGGTCTTTTGCATTAGCTTAGGTCATTTTAAATAGTATGTAAAACAAATAAGTAATTCTAGTGAATCTATTTCTTTTTATATGTTGGCTTTTCTGCAACATTGTAAGAACAGGCAGCTCAATTTAGTAATATCCAATCTTTTGAAGGCTGGCAGTCAACCCTCTAGCAGTCACATTTTGAAGAAGCAGCATTTTAGGTGTGTTGTGTGTAAATGGCTAATCATTTAATAGTAGGTGGACAGCATCTATTATTCATCATTAATTTATACACACTACATCAAACAAAATACCATTTTAGAGTCCTTATGAGACTCTGATTGCCACTGTGTTTCAGGATAGTTTGACATTTTGACCCAGCAAAATACATGCCTTTCTTGGAACATCACTTAATCTTGGGGATAAAAAATGTACACGAGACCCATGACACCCAGTAGGAATGTATATATGGGTGGTATTTTTACGTATTTTAGTCTCTTGTAGAGAACACTTCAATTTAGTTAATGAAGTTTGTATCTAGTCACTACTCATTCTTACAAAGGACATGACTGAATATATTTTCTTACAATATTTATCGCTACTGGGAGTGTACCATGATTGAAACAAATGGCCTCTTTCTTGAAAATAATGAATTTTAGCTAAGTAAGGCACCATTATACCCTTGAAATGGCTGGTTTCATTGATTTTTTTTTAACTGATTACTTTATTGAATTCTGTAAAAGTTGATACTGTGTTTATACCCTCATATTTTGCTATGTAGTTATATTTCTGATGTCCAATCTAGTTAAAATTGATGGAGATGTCACTGATTCCAAGCAAGAGCCATCAAAAATTGCTTCTAAGAAGCTGGATACAATGAAGTCAAGGAATCTGCTTAATCATATGTTTGAAAATCAGGCCCTTTGAGGAGTTAACCTAAAAAACCAAAATCAGTGGGTAGTTCTGTACATATCTAAATCTGTGTTTTCTGAAGTGTCGACTTTTTGCACAAGATGGAAAATGTTTACTATCAATAATACACTGGGGAAAGAACCTGTGAGTCTGAGTATGTGCAGTTCTGCATCTCTCCAAATATCTTTTTGTGAAGGATCTCTTGATCTGATTCTGCAAGTCTGAATCCTCTCTAATCAGCTGATATTAATTACCATGAGACAAGTGGATTGATTTTGAATATAGGGTATATTTAGAAAGAGCAAAATTGTAGTATTTAGATCACTGATTCCAGGCTGAGCAGCCCAATAAAGTAATTTTTGTCTAACACTTGTCTAATGGTGATACTGCTGGTGGCAGTATTACAAGGTACTAAGATCCATTAAGAACGTATCGGCAGGATTGTGCTTTGCTTCACTCTCCCGTTTATAGTGCACTAAGAAGACCTTTCTGTTTCTGAACTACATGCAGTATACTTTATATCTACAGATATGATGGCTTTTTTAGACAATTTAGGATCTTTGTTCCATAAGGTCCTTGACTGCAGTGTCAAAATCTGTGCATGCTTCAGTTGATGTTTTTTATAATTACGGTTTCCTGCATCTTAGCACATGCATTTTGTTTCAGAAGCTGCAGCAGGATTTCTGTAAGATACTGTGTGGATATGTGCCAGTGCACCACTAATCTATTAGCTTATGATTTGTAGGTCAGGGAGAAATTGAGATTTTGCTATCTAAGCAGTATCATCTCTTCGCTGCTTCAGTGCTTACATGACATCTCAAGTTGGCTGAAGATTAAAAGGACACTGTCAAGGTATCTTTCACAATTTCATTTTTATTATTTGTTTTGTTTGCCTTATTATTGCTGTCATAACCCATTGGAAGCTTGAAGTCTAGTGCCTCGCCAACAGGCCTTTGTCCTCCAGAACAGTAACTGTTTAGCTGCTTATGGTTTATTTAAGAGTTGTGAAGCATTTACTGTCTTCTGAAATACATTACTGAAGAGTTACAGCTTAAACATTGCAAGAAAGTGAGAGGGAAGAAGCAAGTAAATCAGTTTGGGTCCAGTCCTGACACTGTGTAGTTATGATAAACTCAAAGTACTTCTTCTTTCCCTTGTTTCTTTCAGAATTTAATAATTTGGGAGTATTGAACTAGGCATCAGTGTTTCCTTTGCACGATCATTCTTGAGATTGTACTTTCCAGGGCTTGATAACAAGATCTGCGTTCTTATTTAGATATATTTTGAATTATCTAACGTAATAATCCCTCTCAGAATTCTTACAGGTACAGTTGTATT